AGAGTCATTAAGTTATAGAGTTATACAGCATGGAAACAGACCTTTCAGTTCAACTCATCTGCACCAACCAGATATCCTAAACTGACCTAGTACCATTTGCTAGCATTTGTCCCTTATCCTTCTAAACCCTTCCTAATCATGTTACCATCCAGAGATAACAAGGTGTAGAGCTGGATGAACACCGCAGGCCAGGCAGCATCAGAGGAGTAGGAAAGCTAACGTTTCGGGTCTAGACCCTTCTTCAGAAATTTTAGATCTTTCGCCTCTCACCTTAAACCTATGTCCTGTAGTTTTGGACTCCTCCACCTTAGGAAAAAGACCTTGGTTATTCACCCTCTCCATTTCTGAAGAAGGGTCTAGGCCCGAAACGTCAGCTTTCCTGCTCCTCTGATGCTGCTTGGCCTGCTGTGGTTCATCCAGCTCTACACCTTGTTATCTCAGATTCTCCAGCATTGGCAGTTCCTACTATCTCTGAGTGAGATGTTACCATTCAGATGCCTTTTAAATTTTGTAATTTTACCCATGTCCACCACTTCTTCTGGCAGCTCGCTCCGTACACACATTAACCTCTGTGTGAAAATATTGCCCCTCGGGTCCCTTTTAGATCTTTCCCCTCTCACCTTAAACCTATGTCCTGTAGTTTTGGACTCCTCCACTTTAGGAAAAAGACCTTGGTTATTCACCCTCTCCATGCCCTCATGATTTTGGTCACACCTCAGCCTCCGAAGCTCCAGGGAAGGAAAAACCCCAGCCTATTCAGCCTCTCCCTATAGCTCAAACCCTTCAATCCTGGCAACATCCTTGTAAATCTTTTCTGAACCCTTTCAGGTTTAACAACATCTTTCCTCAAGCAGGGAGACCAAAACTGAATGCAGTATTCTAAAGGTAGCCTCACCAATGTCCTGTACAGCTCAACATGACATCTCAACTCCTATACTCAACATTCTGAGCAATGAAGGCAAGTGTGCCGAATGCCTTCTTCACCACTCTGTCTACCTGCAACTCCACTTTCAAGGAACGATGAACCTGCACCCCTAGGTCTCTTTGTTTAGCAACACTCTCCAAGGCCCTACCATTAACTGTGTAAGTCCTGTGCTGATTTGCCTTACCAAAGTGCAACCACCTCATTTATCTAAATTAAATTCCATCCGCCACTCCTCAGCCCATTGGCCCACCTGATCAGATGATGATGTTTCTTCTTTGGAGGTCTTGTGATGACGGTGGTAGCAAAAAGGCACGCTGGCCTGCATCTCAGCTTTTCTCCACCAATCATCTCTATATTCACACTTGTGTGGAGGTGAAATCCTGCCCACGATGCCTCTTTGTGCTATGGTCATCCATTTCCATCCTGTCTTTCTCCTTGTAGGACATACAATCAGCAGCAGCCTCTTTTGATTCAGCATAGCCTTCCTTTAAGATGGACAAACTGTGTTCAAGAGCTAGAGGCTTGCCAAAACATATGCTTGCCTCACATGCCATTACACCATTGACATGAGTGAAACAGAACAGGAGTGTGGATTGTATCAGAGATAGTAGGAACTGCAGATGCTGGAGAATCTGAGATAACAAGCTGCAGAGCTGGATGAACACAGCAGGCCAAGCAGCATCATAGGAGCAGGAAGGCTGATGTTTCAGGCCATGAAGGGTCTCGGCCCGAAACGTCAGCCTTCCTGCTCCTATGATGCTGCTTGGCCTGCTGTGCTCATCCAGCTCTACACCTTGTTATCTCAGGAGTGTGGATTGTGCTGGGTGCACAAAGAAATCATGAACAAGACGGCAGGATGAAATTTGTTTGCTGCTTCCGTCCAACTGAATGGAGATCAGCAGATTGTAAGTTGTGAGCCCTGTGGTCAGAACCAGCCTTTCTGAATTTTTAGATACGAATATTAAAAAAAATATGCTGCTTTCAGCGACACGTATTATTCTATACCTCCTGAATGTACAATATCACAGACTTGAGAGGTTGATCATTATGTATATTGAGTAATCTATTGTTGACCATGGCAACCCTCATTGACTTTTGTGCCCCAGGTTTTGAAAGGCAAAACATTAACAGTTAAGATTTTTGCTCGTAGTCAATTTCCAGTTTTTCCTGCTGGAAAGTAAACTTGAATGTCGGGGAGAACAGGATTCTGGCTGAAATAACAATTGAACAAAGTGTAAATGTCAATTTTAAAGACGTACTCATCCTGCCATATGACCTCACTGTGCCTGGTGTAAGCTAGATGTGGCGCAGCAGATAGCACTTCTTTGAGGGGTCAAGGTTTTGGTCAAAATGAAATACTGTGGATACTGGAGATCTGAAATTGGAATCAAAACATTAACTCTGTTTATCTCTCCACAGATGCAGCCACACCTGTTGAGTTTCTCCCGCATTTTTGCTTTTTTTCTAGGTTTTGCTCCGGGTCTTGAACACAAAAATTGTGTTGACACTCCAGTGCAGCATGCACGCACATTTGGAAGTATCTTTTAGGTGAGGCAATAAACTGAGGCACCATCCACCTGCACAAATGGATGCAGAGATCCCATTGTACAAATTTGAAGTGAAGCAGGGGTATTTTCTCTGGTAACCTGGCCACTATCTATCCCACAATCAATATCACAAAAAGAGCTTCTTTTGTCAAGCATTGCTGTTTGTGGGAGTTTGCTGTGAACAATTTAACTGTTGTGTTTTCTGCATGAAGGTTGAAACCCTTCAAAAGTACTTCCTTAGCTGTAAAATGGTTTGAAATGTCCAGCGGTTGAAGTGTTATATAAATTTAAGTCTTTCCTTACTTTTCAGAAAATACCATTGGAGGGTCAGGGAACATGTTCGAACAGAACATTTTCAATTTTATATTAAGGTTGGTGCACTAGAGATCATTTTATAATTTAGTTTATTTCCAACGTAAACAATTATTAACGTGAACTAAACATTTCTGTTAATAGATGGGATTGGTTATTACAGCACATAAAATCAGACATTCAGAGCTATTATTGAAGAGACAATTTTCACTGAGTTCATTTCTAAATCTAATCAATTTATAATCATTAATAGTAAACAGTTTCCTCACCTTTAGTTTGTTGTTTCAGCTTGTACATTTGTATCTGTCACACTTTCAAAATAATCGCTCAATGTGAAATCCATGCAGTCAGCAAATTTAATTCCTACCTCTTGCATGTTTGTTCATCCTCACTTGAAATGATTCTGTTGTGCAGTGTTCTCAAAAATCAGAACCGTTTGGTCCATTGTGTGGTTATATTGAGCCAATATCGCATTCTTACCCCATCACAGATATAATTCGTGTGAATCCATCTTCCCAACAATCCCTGTCAAAATAAAAGCTTTACAAAGGTCCCAGCTATTGGTTTGAAAGCCTAAAATAGCAACTGACATACAAGGTTGAATTTGAAGCCCAGTCTCGTGACATTTTATGGATGCCAGGAGCACATTTAATCAAATGCAAGGGCAGCATACGGGCACCTGCCTCTGTTAAAATTAGGTCCAGATCAAGAATGCATTTGATTGGTCTCCTCAACCCATCTATTGAGACCTTTAAGGGGCAATTAATGACTTCTTAAGGAGTTCATGTGACTCCCCCAATAGTAAGCCAGGTGTGAACAGGACTGTTGCCATGTGAGAACCATGCCAAGCCAACCTGCTTCTTGTGGTCTCCCATGAGAGGAGCCGTCAAAGTGACTTTGGGAAGGGGCGCTGCAGCTGCTAAAAATCAACACCCTACCTTTGCAGGGAATCTCCATACACAACTGTCACTAACGGTCTGTGCGCTCTGCAAAAGAGGAGTTCTGGTGAATGTCCTTCCAGCTGCAGTCACTGCCTCCACAGAGACAATGCAGATCAAAGCAGCTGCTGGCCTCTGGTTGGCTTGTAGCTCTCAGTGGGTGGGATTTTTACACATGGGTCTCTTGAATCCCCATTTCTGGCCCCTTAAGCATTTGAGGATACTTAATACTGGTAGGCTTACTTGCAGAAGTTCTCTCACTAGTTCTCCCAAGCAACAGCTGAAACTTTTGATACCCTCCCTCCAACAGCGATGTGGGATGCACAAATCGCCGTGTGTCAAAATGCTCCATGTACTAAGAAAGTGATGACAGAAAGTCCTATTTGGACTTCTGACAAGAGGTGATGTTGCTGTAACATTAATAATGCATCACTGCATGGATGCTGTTTGATCTCATAAGTACTTTGAGAAACTTCTGTTCTGAATAAGTCACTGGACCTAAAGCTTTAATACAGATGCTGCCAGACGTGCTGAGTTTTTCCAGCAGCTTTTGTTTTGTTTCTGATTTCCAGCATCTAGATTTTTTTTGTTGAGAAACTTCCCATTTTACATCAGTGGTTCTGATGGAAGATCATCAACCAGAAATATTATCCCTAAATTCTGTTCACAGCTGTCTCACCTGCTGAGCATTTCCAGTACTTTCTTGGATTTCATAGGATTCCATTCATGAAATACTATCACATTCACTCGGTCTTTTTACATAAATGCTCACTGTTGAGGTTTATAAAAATGAGGGTGATCATTTAGTTAAATTATCAAAGTTCTGAACTGTAGGACAATCCCTCTGCAGAAAAAAAAATTAGGGTCTGTATCAGAGTAGCACAGTACTGGCTCATAGCATCAGTAACCTGGATTCTATTCAAGCATTGAATGACTGTGTGGAGTGTTCATGTTCTCCCCGTATCTGCGTGGGTTTCCACAGTGTGCTCCGGTTTCCACCCACAGTTCAAACATGAGCAGGTTAGGTGGATTGGCCATGCTAATTGCTCACAATGTCCAGGGATGTCTACATTAGGTGGATTAGCCATGGCTAATTCAGTGTTACAGGGAAGAGGGTGGGGGAGTGAATCTGGGCGTGAAACTGTTTGGAGGACTGATGCAGACTCGATGGGCCGAATGGCCACTATCTGCACTGTAGGGACTCTATAATCAGGAGGCAAGAAGTATTACAATTTCATATTTAACTCTTCAATATGTACTCAAATACCACAAAGTAAATTAAGGCAAATTTTGTTTTATTTGAAATGCTGTATAAAAATAAGTTTCTTCCATTCTAGTTTAATTTACAGCTCTAATCAAATAACAGTTCAAACTTCAAGCTGCTTACATGCACCCAAACTAGTGTAAAGATATTGTATATACAAAAAAAAACATTTTTGAGCTGGTATCTATTTCAACCCATACCAGTCCACAGGACACATTAAAAATGTCACAAAAACCCCCCAAAAAAAAACAAGTCTAGACATTAAATACATTTTCGGTTCAACATGCATTTAACAGAAGTGCTCTATATTATATTTACAAAGTCTGGAATTCTTTTCAGTGACATCACTGTTTTCTTTTGGCTGTAAACAGAGTGAACTGAACTAAAGTCTGACGTGATCTTATGAAAATCTGTGGGCCCCAATCTGAACAAATAATTAATAATCGTGGAATGAACAAGTCTGTTGGAAGGTAGTTGTCCATAAATAAATAAATATAAATTAACCCACAAGTCAAACCTTTTTATATAATAAATCTGTTTAAAAAAAAAACCTCAACTTCACTCAAATAAATAAACAGGTAAACAGTACAGCTGACATAGGCTGTAATAACCAGTATTTCAACAAAAAAAGGAATTTACACTTTTTATACATATATATCTACATATAATACACACGTACATATATACATACACATATACAAATGGTTAGAGTTCATTCATTGCATTGGTTGTGCATTGATGACGATGCTCTGACATGCCGTGGCTTCATATTCATATTGAGTGTATTAAATAAGTGAGCTGAATGAAGAAGAGTTGAGGGCGACTCTTTTCTGATTAGTGGTGATCTTCAGGTGACAAGGGTTCTCTTCAGTTATTTTATTGGAAGGCTGTAAACAAAATAGTAGCTAGACTAGACCAGTCCCTGTGTGTGTTATGTATGAAGATTGTGCGAAGGAAAGTCAAGTTATTCAGAAGCAGCAGAAGTTCAAGTATTTCTTTTCTAAGTTAGTGGATCCAGCGTTCATAAAAAAAGGCACTCGAAAGGGAAGAGCCAGGCTTGTCGTAATGCATGATTCAAGTTAATGACAACCGAAGCTTGCAGAGGAGGGGATTCTGGTTCTTCATCACCCCTCCCACTAATCAGTAGATTTAAAAGGCCATGGAATCTGGTGAGTGAAACCAGGCGAATTATTTGGTTCTTCCGAAGGAAGGCAGAGATAGTTCAGTTTTGTGAGCATCGGTTCACATTATTTCACAAGTTCTAATTTACTCGAGCTAATGTTGGTTGACTCTTGGCTCAGACTGTGTAATCTTAGTCCAATGGCATCTTGTGAAACAATGCTGTTCTGCATCCAGGGATGGTTAATCATGTCTTCAAATGAGGGTCGATCTGAAGGCCTCAAGGATAGACAGAACTTGATGAGATTTTGACATTCTGAAAGCAAAAAGGAAATAGTGGATTATAAACAGTGTTGAGTTTCTGATTATACTTTCCATACACGTAACAGTTTGTCAATACAGCATACAGGATATAAAGAAGTAACTATGGTGTGTAACCCAGTTGGGATTTTTGTGGCAATCTAATATAAGCAGATAAACACTTTAGTGATAATGATACATACCACTAACATATTAATTATATGTACAAAGCATCATTAAAAGTAACAGTGCATTTGCCTGTGGTGAATACCTGACAAATTCCATGAAACTATTTAAAGCAATGATGATTGACTTAATTTACACAGTATAGAGGATGAAGATCCTCTAGAAATATTTTAATTTCCCTCCATTCAGATGGGAGGTAAGAAAAGCTGCTTACCAGATGAAATTCTCCGCCGGAACAGCACCTGTCCTCGAATTATCTCTTCGTCCTGCTCAAACGGGATGTCTCCACATACCATGTCATACAGAAGCACCCCAAGGGACCAAACTGTGGCAGATCTGCCGTGATATCTGTGATGGCGAATCCATTCTGGTGGGCTGTACACTCTGGTGCCTACAAATCAACACAAAGATCCACATTTATGAAAACATTCCCTGTATTCCTTCATGCTGTTAAAATGCAAACGTACAAACTAAGGGCCAAAGCAAGCTACTGAAGCCTGCTCTGGCTTTCAATAAGATCATGACTAATCTGATTACTGCACATTCCTCTGCTCACGAAGAATCTATATTTTAACAAGTATATAAATTTTCAACATTCCTCCATGGACTTAAAGTAATAAAATAATAACAAAGTATAAAAATAAGTCCACTACAGATTTCTAAAAAAGAAATGCGTCCGTAGTTGCATCTTATGGGAACCAAGCTGCACACAAGGTCAAAACATTTCACATTTGATTCCAGCAACTTGTTATTGGCAGAGAGAAGATAAAACGTTTGCCATATTTCTTGTAAACAAAAGAGTGCGCTGAGCTCTTGAAATTCAAATCATCTACACTATCTCGTTCCGCCCTTAGCTTGCAGGAAATGTGGTTAACCTGAAGCTTCCTGCTTGCCCTGCCGTGAACTGGCAGTTATTGACTCGTTGCCATGTGATTTTTTTGTTTACAAACTTTCAGTTGTAAAAAGCACACGCTCCCGCCTGCCGGTGGCGCCAAACACTCAGAATTTTCACTAACGGTTTTCTTTTATTTTTGGTTGTTCTTTGGAGACGAGTTTAATGTTTGAAAATAGGCAATGGCCTGCGCCGTCACCTCTGCGGAGCGCAGCCCCAAAACTGCACCTTTACAACAGCCAGCTTCAAGCATTAAAGCGAAGATGCATCAGAAACGATTTTTAAAAATTAATTTTACATATAAATACTATTTCTTTGTTTTTAAAAATAAAAGTCAGTGCTGTCTTAATTTGGAAAATGGACCTTAATAAGTTATATACACAGATTAAATCACTTATGGCTCAAAAGGGACCATTAATAATGCTGTTCTGAAATGTCAATGGTTTGTGTTTTAAACTGCTTCTCGGTTTTCGCAGTTAGTAAAAGGACAGCCTCCCCACGTCTTTTCAGAGGGTTTATTCCACTCCAGCCCTGACATTGAACTGACTTAATAATTTATCAATCGGCCACTTGATATCAAGAAGAGAGTAACCTATTTCCCGTCACTATAGCCCCAGGTAACATGATTATCAAAACATTTCCATGACGAAACTTGGGGGAAGAGCAGAAAATGTGGGCAACATTTGCAATTTAAAAAAAAAACACAAAAGAGGCATGAGATAAATAAAAAAGATTCGCCTCGGCTCCAATATAAAAAAGAGACCTGATTATTTGCATCAGTTTCCAAATAGGAAAGAAAAGGAAAACAGCGTTACGCAGGAGGAAAGCAATCTCCAAAACAAAAGGGTGGCACGTTGCCAGAAACTCAGCCAACGACGGCAGCAAACACTGGGGACAACAACAGGAGGGAGACACGCCGTCTACAGGCTACATTACAAACCCCGAGCCGGACGGACATCACCTCCCCTCTTCCCAACATCTGGCAGAGGGAGACTCCGTCCTGTCTGTCTGCTGTAGCCCCAGCCCAAGACCACCCCTCCCTCCCCTCATTGATCCACCCAACCCCTGGATCACTAAGAGAGAGATAACACTAAGCGAAGCAACACAAAACAAAAAAAAATCATTCATTTCCTTTTATTTTTTCCAAAAATAACACGAGGCAAAAAAATAAATAACCCTGCAAATGCCCCCTTCCCCAAGCTCTTGTAAACACTGCCCATAAATATCACGACTCGAAATTTCTCAGCCTGTTATGATTCAGCCTCTTGTATCTGGGTAATAGTTTTATGTGGGCGGGTGGGTTTTTTCTTTCTGGCGCTCGGCAATTCCCACCACCTCCCCATTAATTACGCATCCATCCCTCGTGATTCGATGTTACCTTAAGAGCCCCCTGCCTCTGGCCGCCCATTGCAGCGAGACAGTGTTTGCGCTGCGCTCTTTCGATCAACGCTACGCCTCTGACAAGCAGAAGGCGCCCCGTCGCAGCCACATCACCATCCAAATAAGGAAATAAAGCCATCAAAACAATAACAAAACGGCTTGTTACTACCGCGCAAAAAAATCTCACTATGATAAATGGATTTCAAATCCAATCACCTCGAAATAACTCTTTCCAAAACTAATGTCTAAATACGTAATTTATTAATTCATTTCGGAACGCTGAATCTCATTTAACACTAGCCTCTGGTATCTTAACGCAACAGGACTGACTGGACTAATTAAGCTTATTTTTAATTGTGGAAATTCCCCATTGTAGTAACATTGCTCACCATCAAAATCAGTGTAGACGGTATCCTTTAACAGAGCCCCCGAGCCAAAGTCGATGAGTTTGAGCTCCCCGGTCCTCATATCAATCAGGATATTCTCGTCCTTGATATCTCGGTGAACCACTCCGCAGTTATGACAGTGCCTCACCGCCTCCAGGATCTGGCGGAAAAAGTTTTTAGCTAAGTCCTCCGGTAGGGCTCCCTTCTCGGTGATAAAATCAAACAAGTCCTTAACGTGCTCAGGTCGCTCCATGACGATGATGAAGCTGTCGGGTCTCTCGAACCAGTCCAGCATTTTGATTACACCCCGGCAGCCCGTGCCCACCCTCTTCAGAAGCGCTATCTCCATGGGAACCCTTGCTCCATTAGACTGCAGGGAGAACACACAAAAAATAAACCCAATGAAACACCAAGCAATCACTCTGTATCCCAACCCACAACTTCATGTATCGCTTACTTCCCGCCTCAATGTAAATAGTTAAATACATCTGTCAAAATAGGATTTCATTTTAAAAAGGACCTGACACTGTGATTACAAAGGCATACAAAAAGGCATGAGTTTCGCATTTTACTTACCAGTTCAGCCCATTCTGACACCCGATCTCTAGCAACGTGTTTGATCGCAACCTGCAATATAAACAGAAAGGTCCATTCAGTCACCGAGTCCAGCGAGTCGTCTATGAAAGGTTTTTTTTTGGACGGGGGTGATGGTTGGTCAGAACGATTTGGAGAAAGTTTAGGGAGATAAAACAGAAAGGGAAACGCAGACTTCAAAACATAATTACCTGCACGCCATCAGCCACTCGAACCCCAGAATAAACAGTCCCAAATCCACCACTACCGAGGACAGATCCAACTTGATAAATCTTTTCAAAAGGCTCTTTCACTGGAAGAACAGAAAGGAGAGAGAAAAGATTAGCCCATCTTCACTCTATCACGAAATCGCCGCCTCTTTTGTTGTCTCCGAGCTCCACATGGTTAACGATAACACCGTTACAACACAAAACCCCCTTCCCACTGAGACAGGGAGGCTCCGTAAACATGTAAGAAATGCTAAACAGATACCTTGTTGCAACTGAATTTTCGCCGGCATATCCACGTTTGATGTCGAGTACATATGAGTGAAGGATCCGATCTTTGAAAGCAGCATCCCCTTCTGGAAAACCTCGACTGCAGACTCGGTTATCACTTCCAAGGTTCCGAGTGGGATTTCACCAAAAAGGCAGTAGAGAGGGGAAGAGGGAAAAAAAAGCCGGCAAATTTCACCCACACCACGTTGCGACGAAACACACAGCTGCGATCCTACAAATGTTTCCCTTATTCCAAAGCGTCTGTTTCTCCCAGTGTCCCGGGCAGATGATTAAGTCCCTTTCGAGCAGGAAATCAGTTCTTTTGGATGAGGAAGGAAAATATAAAAGGGGGCGGGTGATGGGGGGGGAGAAAAGGATCAGAGCCGCGTCTTTGTATCACGCTGATTCCCCGGCTTTACTTGGAGTGCGTTCTGCTAGTAGCAACCACTATATACAGATAGTAAAAAAAAGGGCGAGCCGTACACCATCAGCAAACCCCAGAGGAACGGCCCACTTTGAAATACGTCAGGCAATCCAATAGGAGAGTAGCAATGATCTGCCTATCACAGAGCGAAAAAAAATAAAAGAATGAAACTGACTAGACTCGACGTGGCGGGAATGACTACGCGCCAAAAAATGCCTCTTGCATGTCTGCTTACAAATAGCTTTGATCCACTGGCTGTCTGTAGACAAATATTTTTAAAGGGGAGCGACAATGGCGTTTTTTTTTCCTTTCCGCGGGAGGAGCCTCTGCAGTTTTGCAGGCAATAGATTTAGCAGGAGCGAACAGAGTAGTTCAAAAAATGCAGAGGCGTGTTTTGAGCTGAACTATGCAGATCCTTACCGTGAATGCATTGTTCTAGCGTAGTGGGCGATTTCACAACATATTGCCTTAAAATGTTATACTCGAAAATCTCCAGTGCACAAAAAAATGCTCCTCCCATTTTAAAACTTTCCCGATTAATAAGGTTTTTTTTTGTATTTAAAGTCATGTTGTACAATATACAGAGGAATTTCCGCCAAGTATGTTGCAAGGTTAATTCCATTGTGGATGTCTAACACCGCTATATTTGAAAGAGGGAATTATTTAATTTGATCTCACAACTGACGATTATTGGAAAGGCAGAATGCGCAAGTGCCCAGGAAACGTTACTGCGGGCCTTTTTGTATTCATTGCGATCTTTGCTGTACTTTATATTTTAAAATAGCTTGATTTCTATATTTATTTTCAACAAAAACAATCTGCTATACACACGTTAGAATTAATTATCACCTAAAGGGGGCGTGCACAGTTGTTGACAATAAAAATAAACACTAATCAAGAATTGCATCCAATTGTGCTCAAAATAAATGGATCAGAATATTAGAACACTTTAAGGTTAATTAGTGTGCAATATTATGCAAAATATAATGTTTAAATATATTTCGAATTCGCAACCACAATAGTCGGTAGTTTAAATTTTTGATTTTTTTGTTGCAAACATGTGGCCACCCGTTATTCAGCTACCATTTATGCAAGGTGCATGTTAGCAACAGTGCTTTCTAAAGTCACTTCCATTTATTTTTCATGCATTTGTGCATGAAAACTGGATAGGATGAAAGGAAAGATTTTTGCAGTGATAATTAATGGGTGTGGACAAAATAGTTCAGACTTTGTTATTTCCCGCCCGATCGTAAACTGCGAACATCAATGCAGATATGGTCTTTTATTGATGCCAAATTAATTGTTGTTCATCTAGCCAGGAGAACCCCTTCAGGTCTGGGGGTTAATTTTAGATTTCAGGGAGAATGAGTTAATGAGTTTTGCAACGAGATGAATAATTTCTGGGAAAACCGCAGGGCGATACAAATCTGCTCTGAATGGTGCCAGTGAGAAGATGCTGCATTCCTGACATAGTTTCGAATTGGGTGGCCGCCGCCTTTCAGCATGTGGGAATGAATCACAAAAAGCTGCCTTTTTTTTCCCCCGAGATCAGGTACAAGTTAGAGCAAGTGAAACTGTAACATAGCCAGTGTTAGTCGATGGAGGTCGCTGCTCAAAACATGAAAGCTTTTTTTTGCAACGCATCACATCTCAGGAATTTCCTCTCAGTGTTTTTGCTTCCAAGGGTGTACTGAAATGATTACGACTTGAAAGTTCAGATTCAAATCCTATTGGGTGGAGTTTGATAACTGTGAATCAAAACAAAACCGAAATTTGAACTGTTGTGGAGAGCTGTGCGAAGGGCGTTAAACTGATTTTTTAAAAAAATGTTATTTACATTTTCTTCTGTTCCTCCCTTGCTCACTCTGGGTCACACACCATGTCCGGGCCGTGTAAGGTCACGCAGGAGATTTTGCTTCCAGCCTATCTCCAATATCACTTTTGACCCAGATACCTGGTGGTACACAAGAATAGCCAGGCTTCGGGTGACTGGCTCTGTAATCTTGCTTTCCTCCCCCTGGGGAACTGACTCTCCTCTGTGTAGGAAACTGAATGTTTCCTTAGATCGGGACCACCAGATTCTTTTTAGATGTACGGAGAAAGTGGCATCGACTCACCATAGGACCACCCCGTACCCAGGCTGCCAGATAACGAAAGGAACAAAGTAGAAATTTGTTGCTGTGCCACCCACCAAAGCTTTTTAGCTGCTTGTCGTTTTGACAATGGAATGCAATTCCCACAAATAAATTCGTGCAAAGAAGATTTGTGTGGTATTTTTATAATGATGGCCACAATTACTTTTGAAGTAAGTCCAAATTAAGCAAAATTTAAACGATTAATGCAGAGTAGCTGCTCAATTTCTAAAAGTGTTAGTTTAATGTTAATTGGAGCAACATCTGTGAACTGACACATTGACAGTACTAACTCTCGCCTATTCTTGGTTACCCCAGCTGCAGATGCACGCCAAACTGCCAACAAAAAGTCAGCTGTATTACTACCTCATGGGCACTGATGTTTTGGAACTAAATTAAAGCAGTCTCAGAATTGAATCACTAACGAGGAAATTTTATTCAGAATAAATTATTAAACTGAAGATCTCTGTAATCAATAATCAAACTAAAAGAAATACCTAGCCCATAGTCAGCACAATAGAATTCAATATTAGATATGATGAGGACCACAACCACATTTTCAATTGATGTAAGAAGGCTGACTTTGCAGCTGGGGCAAAAATTGATCATCACCGGCTGGAAGAATTATTAAACATAACACAACATTAGACGTAAACAGTGGGAGGTGTTCAAAAATAACCCACAACCATCTGTAATTTAACAATTTTGAAGAACAGGAGAAATGAGAGACAGTACAAAGTTGAAAGAAAGGGAATGTAAGGACAGCAAAGACATGTTGAGAACATTTTATTAATTGCTTTGACTAAGAGACAGAGAGTACTGTATCCAAGTTTTCTGTTGATATAAAACGAGGTGTAAGTGTAAGCTCTAAGGAGGATACAAACAGGCTGCCAATAGTGATACAGACAGGTTAAATGATTGGGCAACAAGATGGCAGATGAAGTATGTTGTGGGCAAACTCAGCTTATTCACTGTGGTAGCAAGAAAACAGAATATTTTTAAAATCATGTAACTTGCACATACTGATGCTCAGATAGACTTTGGTGTATTCACACAAGGAACACAGAAAGTTAGCATGCATTTACAACAAGCAATTAGAAATGCAACTAGCGTGTTAGACTTTATTGCAAAGGGGCTGGAGTGCAAGAAAAAGAAAATATTACTATAATAAGGGTTTTCATGAGACTACAGCAGGATGAGCATGTACAGTTTCAGGGTTGAATATTTATCTCAAAGTGCATGAAGTGGGTATGGAATCTTGCTGTATTTCACTACAGAAAACACAAATGTCCTCTCCCCTCTGGATCGGGCACTATTTTTGGCTATTGCATTTTAATTTCATGGATTAGGTAGGCCTTGAGTCGTGACTCCTGTTCTTCAGAAATCGAGCCACATCATAAATTTGAACTTCCTCTGCCCACTGTACTGGTATGCCATTGATGGTTGTGGAAGGCCGAAAATAAACCATACCTTGTTGGAGAGTTCCAACTGGGGCAAGCCTGTCCAATCAGGAATATTCTTAGAGGCAAGTGTTAAGTAATTTGACAACTTAAAATGTTACTGTCAGATGCTGTATTGCAATATAGAGCATTTTAATTCAGTGATTCATCATAGGGTTCTGTCCTGAAAAGATAAGTTGACCATTACACCGATGAGCATTATTTAAGTGCTAGAAGCAATAGAGAATGTTTTCATTGGAGAAAATGACATAATCTATTTAAAACTGCGTACCAATGGGCAGGCAAAACACCTGTCATGTTTTGTACTGTGATTTAACTTCAGAAGATCTTGATAAATTTCACTGCTGTTGAAAGTAAACAAAATAAACACCTGTTCTGATCCATTGACTGAAGGGTATTTTGCTTTCAAATGGAAATTAAACAACGCCTACAGTTTTAAAAAAAGTAATCTATTCTTGTAATTTCAATGGACTATGTTGTTTACAATTCTCAGGATTTGCTAAAATCCTATTTAGTCTGTTTTGAATGCTTAGCTGAATTTCAACAATTCCAGCACCATTTACAGTAGGCTGTGTGTGGGGGTGTTCGCATTTTGATTGACCATTTTAAAGGGTTATTAAAGGATAGTCAGTATTGATGTAGTAAATGATATAGTAAATGTATATGATGTAATAAGTGTTTGTATTTACAATAATTTATGTAAGTGAGGGGATATCTTAACTTATTTAAGAATCATTTCTTTTCACTATGATGTGTCTTTGAGTGAGAGATCTACAGTGTTAGAAGTTAATAAATTTTTAATATTCATTTCAAAACATCCTGAACGTCTACATAGAGATATAGAGTCATAGACCTGTACAGCATGGAAACAGACCCTTTGGTCCAACTTGTCCATGCCAACCAGACATCCTAAATAAATCTAGTCTAATTTGCCAGCATTTACCCCATATCCCTCTAAACCGTTCCTATTCATACACCCATCCAGAGGTCTTTTTTAATGTACCAGCCTCCACCATTTCCTCTGGTAGTTCATTCCATATGTGCAGCACCCTCTGTGTGAAAAAGTTGCCCCTTAGGTCCTTTTTAAATCTTTCCCCTATCACCTTAAACCTATGTCCTTTAGTTTTGGACTTCCCCACCCTAGGGAAAAGACCTTGGCTAAGGCTTCTGTGTAATCCGAGAAAGAGGACGGGAAAAATTGTGGCTGTAGGAGTTGCTCCTTTTTTGAGGGATTTTCAGTGTTGGAGCTGATTTCCTGAAATTCTAGGAGCAGTAATTATTATTGTATTAGCTGTTGCATTGTTTTGGAACTTTGTGAAAAAAAGATCAAAACAATGGCATTTTAAAAAGGAGGAAGAGAGACAAAGGTAGACACCACATGGGAAGTGACAATTACAACATTTAAAACACATCTGGATGGGTATATGTATAGGAAGGGTTGAGAGGGATATGG